GCAGCTCTAATTCAAATCAACAATATAAATCATAAAGACAACTGTGAGTTCAGCATTTGATATCGACTTCCCCTTTAAATTCGCCGTTGGAACTCCTGGTTACCGGGAGGCGTTCGAAACCTACATTAAAAATAAAACTCTTGTAGCTCGTCTACAAGAGAAAATCTATCTCAAAACGTGTCCGAGCCTCCTCAAGGCCCACTCTACCAATAATTATTTAACTATAATTAATTCGGACATAACAGTAGAGAGTGAAAATTATTGAAACGAATCTAATTTTTTTTGTAAAGTACAATAATGTTATTGAGATGAGTTTTATGAACGTGGACTTGGCGCAATTTTTTACAGTGAAACTGTTTTTGTTCAGATGATTATAAGCTTCTCACTATACTGGGGAATATTTCGTCGGGGGATATTTTTTCTGTAGGATGTTTTAGCGGGCGATATTTTGTCGGGGTATGAAAACGTGCATTACCGCATTTTTTGCTATAAGTTTACTAATATAAGTACTGTGAATTTGGTTTCTATAAACGATTAGTCGCTATAAGCAATGTTGTTATAAGCGGTTTTCAGCTTGAGAATTTTATATGTAATAGAGACGAGAAAAATTTCGTCGTAATAACAGCCACGTCGCTTTAAGCGAAGTCGCTGTAAATGGTTTTAACTGTAGTAAAAATATTAATAGCTTTTTTTTTACGGCACTTCAAAAATTATCTTAAATTCAAGCTTCTAGACCAGAATGCCCTTTTAACCGTTAGTGAAGCTTCTTAAAAGTAATAACATTTTATCAACGTATTTCTTTTGACCTAGAGTTGACGCAGCGAAGCACATCTGGCCAGGAGACCTTTCAGTAATTTACTCTCGCCTGCATAACCTCAGCATCGATCACGGCTTCCTCCCTCAATCGAGACCTTACATCTACCAAGAAGTTATCGACATGGGTAGTGAAGTGATATCAAAGCAAGAGTACAACTCTCTTGGCGCCGTCACAGAATTTAGATACGGCTTAGAAGTAACTAGCGGAATCCGAGGCGAAAACTCTCTCAAATGGTTCAAGAACATTGGCGAGGAGTGGGGACTCCTTGTCGACAAGGACGCGCTCATTTTTATCGACAATCACGACACCCAGCGCCACCCTGGCGTGTTGACTCACAAAGAACCTCGGTTGTATAAGATGGCGGTGGCTTTCATGCTGGCACATCCTTACGGAAAGCCCCGAATTATGAGCTCTTTTTCTTTTGAAAATTCCGACCAAGGTCCACCCGCAGATTCTTTGGGCAATTTGCTGTCGCCTTTGAAGGAAAATAACAACACCAATGGTTGCGCTGACGGTTGGATCTGCGAGCATAGATGGCGCCAAATTGTTAACATGGTGGAGTTCCGCAATGTGGCTGCGAAGGAACCGATTTGCGAGTGGTGGGACAACTGGAACAATCAAATTGCCTTTTCGAGAGGCAGCCGGGCCTTTGTTGTTATTAATGCGGATCAATTTGATCTTAATTGGCGGATCAAGACTTGTCTCCCTGAGGGTGTTTATTGCGATGTTATTTCGGGAAATCTTGAAGGAAAGTCTTGCACAGGGAAAAAGTTAGTTATTGATGCTGATGGATTTGTTAATGTCAATATTGCAATGGGCGAGGAAGATTATGTTGTCGCGGTTCATATCAATGTGAGTTTTTGGACACTATTAATATTATTTGGAAATTTTTTAAGAAATACTAAATCGTTATCTAGTCACTATAGAAATGGCTGTATCTCTAAAAATATTGATTTTAGAAGAAAACCATAAGAAACCCAAATTGTAGCTTAGTAAATTTTCTACGAGAAATGTTTCTATACTATTGATCTATCTTCAATATTCTCGAAGATATAGTCACCTCAGATCATTCAAGTAGTGATTACACAGCAAAAATTGAAAAATTGTTACCTGGTCACTATAGAATTTGCCATATTTTCTACAAGATTGATTTTTAGAAAAAATCATAGAAAATCAAAATTGGAGCTTAGTAAATTTCCTATCAAAAATGTTTTTATACCATGGATCTATCTTCAATATTTTTGGAAATATATACGTCAATCATATACGGTCGCTTAAGTACTGCTTACATGGGAAAAATGAGAAAATCGTTATCTAATCACTATTAACCCGTAATGGTCACACTTCTTAAAAATAACGTAGTGGTCATACTGGGTCTAGTTGAACCCATGCACGGAAAAAATTGTTCCTACTTGCGTTCTTTTAGTCATTCTTTAACACTTCCGTTAAATAACTCGTTTTTTAATTTTTTTTCAATCGTTTAATTATAAAAAAAAAAAAATGCGAGAAAGTCAAATTTCGAGAAACTTGACTTTTTTTTACTAAAAACTTCATTTGTTAAGATAAATGAAAATGATCTCCGGGCTTCTACTTCGGATATCGTATACTTTGAAAAAAAAGTGGTGTCATGTCGAGCTTTTCAAAAAGTACATTGATTTGTGCAATTGAAATCGTAAATTTCCATGAATCTCAAAAAATCTTCAAACAATATTAGATGGTACCACAGATACCATTTTGAGTGATATCTTCGAAGCAAGAGCAACTCAAAAATTGTCTCGGGTCATCTAGACCCATAATGACCACTACGGGTTAAAATAGTGGTTAAAATTGGAGAGTCGTTATCTATTTATTATAAAAATTGCTATAACTCCTAAAATATTGATTTTAGGAAAAAATTATAGGGAACAAAATTGAAGCTTAGTTAAATTTCTATTTAAAACGTTTTTGTACTACAGGCCTATTCTCAATATTTTCGGATATATAGTCACTTAAATTTACTTCAATAGTGCTTACGTGGTTAAAATTGGAGAGTCGTTATCTATTTATTATAAAAATTGCTATAACTTCTAAAATATTGAATTTAGGAAAAAATTATAGGGAACAAAATTGAAGCTTAGATAAATTTCTATTTAAAACGTTCTTATACTATAGGCCTATTCTCAATATTTCCGGAGATATAGCCACTTACATAGTACTTTTAGAGTAAAAATAAAAAAATCATTATCTTTTTTAATGTTAATTCTTTTTTTGCAGACGAAATTGGAATAATAAAAATGGAAAACAAATTAATTTACATGAATATCTTTTATTAATCAATATAAATATGAACAAAACCAAAAAGATGAATATGAAAGATATTTAAAGAGAAGAAAGTTTAAAAGTATCACAAAACTGCAGTATTCTTAAAAATTTATTTTCAAAACAAAGTTTATTTGTGAGAATTATTAATAATATTTATATTTATACTATACAAAATATTATCTTATTATTTTTAAGTGCTTCTTATCCGTACTTTGACTGTTAAATATTAAATTTGTAAAACTAAATATTGTAATGTAAATCTACGTTACCATCTACGAACTAAAATACTCAAATTTTTATTTTGTAATATTTCCATAAATAAATTTATAAGCGAAGTATTTACATATGATTGTTTCTTTTCAATAATCAATAATCAATAATCAAAAATTAATAATTAATAATTAATAGATAATTATTATTTTAATTTATTATTAAGTAAAAGCCGTCAATACTCGCACACGTTTTGTTTAAAAATAAAATTAAAATCATGTAATTGAAAATTGCCAAATTCAATCAAAAAAAATAACAAACAAATACTGTCTTCCGTATACGACTTTTAGATATAAATATTAATCTTAGGCTCATTACTTTTTACATTAATGAACTAAATTAATTTTTTATAAATACATTATACTTTAATATAATAAATAATAAATGTTACAACTGAAAAAATATATGCGCTAATTTTTACAGATAACTATTTATAGATCAGACATGTTTTAATTATTGTCATATTTTATTTTATTTTATTATTCATCATTATTTTTTTATTATTAATTATCTGTAATTAATTCAACCATTTATTGACTGATTGATCAATTAATTATAAATTATGATTTATAATTATGCGTAATATTATTAAAAAAAATATAATTTATCATTTATGTTACGGATTTAAAGAGTATAACTATTTAATAATATAAAAACCTTTATTAAAATATATAAAAAGAAATAACGATTTGAGCAAATACGTATTTCTTAACGCTAACATTATTTGTAATGTTGTAATTAATTATTATTTAAAATAACATATTATTATTGCACGTTATTTTCGTAGGACGTTTTTTTTATTTATTTAATCGTATCGAACGTTTTTTTTTTATGTTGATAGTTCACAAAAAAATTGTGAATGAAAACTGCACGTTTTTTCACTCAATGAATCTTTACGATTGAATAAATAACGCGATGATTGAGCATCATCCATATTCAGTGATCACTACTCTGATAAAAAAAGAATTTTGTGAAAAAAAAATATCGATAAGAGTAGCACAAGAAATTATTCTTATTTTTCGAGTTTTATACAAAAATATGTTTAGAAAGATTATCAACTTGATAGAAGCAAAATTTAAAGTTTGTTGATAGTAATCTTGACAAGTTAAGAGAAAACATTTTAAATACTCTATACTTTAAAAGTTTGAAAAATCTTGAGCGAGCCCTAAAACAATTTTTAATCAAGCTGATTACTATCGTGGGTTCTTAAAATAATATAAACTAGCATATTTTCATAGTAAACTCGAAGAATAAACATAGTCGGTTTTTTTGCGCTTTTCTTATATATACTCTGATAAGATTTTTCTGAAAGCGAGAACCCTAGGTCATCTAGTGGCGAAACTAAGAACTAACGACTACCAAAAATCTTATTAAATAATTGTTTATCATTTTTCATTAAAAATGTAAATAATGTTTATTAATTCAATCAAAAAAACAATAAATAAAATTTTAATAACCTTTCATAAACGTAAAAAAAATTACGATTTAAAAAAAACTCGTTTCAGGAATAAAGTTTAATTACTCAAAAAAAAAACTCAGTTTGTCTTCTGAATTTGTATTTAAAATAATCTAACAAAATAAAACGAAAATTACATTATTTTCTTCAAAAAAATGTTTTCATCAAGCTAAATCTTATGAAAGGGTCTTAAAACATCATAACCGAACAAATTTTCATAATAAACTAGAAAAGCAAGTAGTCGGATTTTCTTCGCCACCCTACTATATACTCTGGTTAAAATTTTCTAGATACGAGAACCGTAGGCCCTCTAGCGCCAAAACCAAGAACTAACTTTTGAAAAATCTTATCAGACATAAAACTTATTCGCATTCATCTAAAAAGTCAATTATCAAATTCTAAGAAAATTTTTTTTTTTTTTAAATCAACAAGTTTCTAGTCAAAACTTTCTAGTTTGACCATACATAATAATGATATATATATATATATATATATATATATATATATTTATGTATAACTCTTGTCAATAATCCCTTACTAAAGGCACTCACACATTCTTAACCTCTCAACATTAACATTACAATAACATTAACCAATTAAATTATCAATAATAACAACTAAATTAGGTACTGAATTGGGCGGAGTCTCCTCAACAAAAACAAAAACAACAACAACAATCCTCATTGTTATTATTGTTATTGTTTAATAGGCTTTTTAAAAACGATATCTGGCTTTCTGACAGGCCGAGAAATCCGTCTCTCGATCCTGAGCGCGCGATTTGGGTCAACGCTGATGAATCCAGGAGTCTCCGCCATTGTTTGTCAATTTCCAGTGCTGCTGGGGCGCCTCCCAGCTGTCGTTTGCATCGAAATTGCCCCAGCAGTCGTGTTGCCAGCAGTAGCGTTGATGTTGCCAGCACTGACATTATTTGCCGCGCTATTAGTCGCGTTCGCCGTCGCGTTAAGAACTGGCAGCGGCGTCTGGTGGCAGTGGGCGCAATGAAGACACACTGTACAGGCGCCCAACTTCCTTGCCAACATGGCGCGGAGCTTCAATGCCGGGCCTAGCTTCATTCCTATTGGCCCCGTCAAGTGTTCCTCCGACAGAAGAGGCAGCGAGGCGCCATCTATGCGGTGCTCTTGGAAATTCTGAAAATCAAATAAAAAATATTGTTAATATTGTTCTTGTTTTTTTTATTTCATTCTATTAGCAGTGATGTAAAGAGAGAATGTACATGTCAGCAGAGATAAATAATATTTATGTTTTATATTAATATCCGACGAAATGGCTCGCGTGCGAACTAAACGTACGACCAAGCCTAGGTCACCTGAACGTGAACTCGAGAATGGATCTTGACCAAGCTAACCTCTTTAGTGGCATATCCGACAGACCTTTCACTACTAGGTGTGTCTGAGTTATCTTTATTATAAAATAACAATTCCACCTACATCCTACTTTTATGAAGAGGGTGAGCAAAAAATTTATAATTATAGGTTATTATTGATTGTTTGAAACGAAATTGAAGGCTGTCGAATGTCAAGATTCTGTACTGTAGTAGAGAAATAGGTTTCATGATTAAGAAATCTTGGTATGTGTTGAGGAATCATTGGACTGACAAGTTATTGATAAATAACCTTTGTTTATTTGAAAGTTAGTTCTTAATGTCACCTCTAGATGACCTACGTTTCTCACTTGCAGAAAACTCGTACCAAAGTATATACAAGGGCTAAACTATTTTCTATTATTTCAGAATACCATTTATTGCTTATGATTGGACAGTTCTACAGTTAAAAAAAAATTAAAATTAAAACTCAACCTTAAGCAAATAAAATTTCTTACTCCAAATAAGAAATTCAAAAAATTTGAAAAATCCAAAGTGCACGCCTCATAACGCTCATTCATTTTTTAAGAAAAAAATTAATTGTGTAATTGATTAAAAAAAAAAATTATAATTAAGTAATTTCTTATAAAGTATTTTTTATTTTCTTTTTAAATATCAGCGCCCTTTTTTCTTGTCATATGCGGACGCAGTCTAAAAAAATCTAGCTTGATCAAGTGGCGCCATAGTTTTCACTCGACAAATAAGGAAAGTTCGTTTCCTTATTACGGCTTTGTACGGTTGTATCGTAGTGAATTTTAATAAAAATTCAATTTATAAAAAAATACGTAAACTAGGCCACTGATATGAAATACGGATCCAGTTCATCAAATTCTTAAACTAATAAAAAAGGTCCGGTCTTGAAATATCAATTTGTTCGGGAGTAATCGTTGGTACATCCAAAATGGGGTGACATCCAGCCGTCCACGTAAAATTTTTTTCAAAACTTTTTTTTTTTTTTTTCAAAATAGCAACATGAAATGATTTTAGAAAGTAAAAGATGGTTTAATTTAAGTGTTTTTTTTGGTGTACATCTACTTATATCATTGTATAAGTGTAATATGGTTGTGATAGAAGCATTTGAAGATCAAAAAATTGCTTGAACTTGACGAGTCGAGTATAAAGCACAACCTCTCGCGCTTCGCGCTATGAGGCGTGCAATAAAAGAAAACGAAGTTTTCATTGAGATTTTAGTTATTTAACTTCATCGTCGTTATAAAGTTCTACTTCAACAGATTGATTTTAGTAGTTAGTATTTTGTTTCCCCCCTAGATGGCCTAAGCTTCTCGCTAGCAGAAAAATGTCATCAGAGTATACATAAGGACTAAACTTTTTTTTTCTATCAAAATAAATGATTGATAAATTATTGGCGAAGTTTTTAATAATTATTTATAATATTTCATTCCTAAACTCACTTTCATTATTAGAATCAATAAAGGAATTCAAATAGCGCGCTACGCGCGTGCCTTAATTTTAACCAATAATGAATCGTTCTCTGTTTTTTGCGAATTTCGACCTATGACTAACTTCAAGACTTTCATGTAATCGAATTTAGAGGATCTCAAACAGCAAAGCCCGTAACTTTACACTAAAATGGTACAGTCTTCTCTCAGATTTTTACTCAGGATACATTTAGCTCTCAATTTTTCCGCTAGATGGGCAAAACTTCTCGTGAGTACAAAAATCTAACCAAAGTATAATTAATCTCCAATATTTATCTCATAAAAATAAATGTTTACTGCCTATTAATAAAAATTTCATCATCAAATAAATCCTGTAACCTTTTTAAATTTTCTGCAGACAAGTCACCAACCCATAGAAAACTTTAAATAAAATCCGATTGTTGAAATAGCGTGAACATGA